AAAATCACTGCCTTCAAGTCGATTCTGACTCTACAGACAGAGTAGAATTGCCCCACAGGGTTTCCAAGGCTATAATCTTTTTTTTTTAAATTTTTATTGTGATCTGGGTGAAAGTTTACAGAGAAAATTCACTTTCCAATCAGCGACTCATACACTGTCTCATGACATTGACTGTAATCTCCTACAGTGCAACAGCTGCCCTCCCACTTCCTCCCCAGAGTTACCTCTTCCCTGTGTCCTTCCCTCCATGCACTCCTGCCCCCCAGCAGTCTCCCTGTGCACATACAGCCCTTCTATTCTCCCATGATTGTTCTCTCCAAGGAGTGTATCTACCTGATGTAAATGTTCAGTTCATATGCCTGTCTTTTGTTTGGCTGGAAGCCACAGGAGTGGGTTCAATTCCAGACCTGAAGGGCAGATAGGGGCCAAATTCTCAGGGGTTCCACCAGGCTCTATCAGACCAGCAAACCTGGTCCTTTTTTTTTATGATTATGAATTGTGTTCCACATTGTTCTCCCACTCTGTCCAGGATCTCCTACATAGATCCCCTTCCAAGTGCTTGACAGTGGTAGCCTGGCACCATCTAGTTCTTCTGGTCTCACAGTCATACAGACTGAGGACTGCATGGTCTACTAGTCCCGTGGACTAATTGTTTCCATGTGTCTTTGGTTTTCTTCATTCTTCTTTGCTCTGGACAAGGAGAGAACCATTGTTGCATCTAGATGGCCACGTGCAAGCTTGTGACCCCAGTCACTACTCACCAAAGTAGGATGTGGAACAATGTTTTTGTGTAGTACATTATGTCAATTGAGCTTGATGTCCCCTGCAACCATGATCCTGAGCCCACAGGTCCAACTACTCACTCCCTTCAGATACCTGGCTGTGGCCATTAAGTGACTACAATCTTGTCCCTTGTCATCTCTACTATACACCTGGATATTCTCACAGAACATACAAATACACTTGTAGAAACATTGTCTGCCAACCCTATACATGGTCATGGGCACACTCCCCCCTGCATAGACATACCTAATTGTTCAGCCTGTCTATCTATCCATATATGAATATTTGCCAAGGCTGTCATCTTTGCAGAAGCAGACTGCCTCATCTTTCTCCCACAGAGAGGCTGGTGGGTTTGAACTGTTTAGTGAGCACTTAACCACAGCACCACCAGGGCTCCTTTGATGAGGTGGTTAGGGAAGGCTTTTCTGGGGAAGTGTCACTTGCCTAAACACCTACAGGATTACAAGCAGTCAGCCAGAAGGAAAGTAGGGAGAGGGGTCACAGGCAGAGAGAACGTAAGCAAACACCCTCGAGCAGACAGCCTGGTGCGACCCAGAAACCATAAGAAGGACCTTGTGGGAAAAGTGGAGTGGAGGGGGGCGAGAGGCGAGAAATGAGTTTGGAAAGGTAGTCACTGGACTCAGAAAGTTGCACCCAGTTCCTTAGCTGACCAAGTTAAAGCAGGTCAGGCCAGCACCCAAACCTACGTTACTCGTGTTCACAGGGTTCGAGTTCTCCCTTTCTGATCTCGGCTCTTGCTCAGCTCTGGGGTAGACACCATGACTCTGCCACACACGCACTCTCTAGCGTCTGCCTGTTCTGGAAGGTACTGTTCTGCTTAGTCTAGGCACGCAGGCAGGTGATATGATCCTGCATGAAAACAGAATTGTCAGCTCCTTTTGCTTTATGCTTCA